GGACATGGCCATGATTGGATTAGGGGGTGTAAATTTTCTGCTATCAAATGATTTGGGATCTACGAATAATTAGGGGGTAGTATCCCAAAATGATCCGCCCACACATGAATTCACAACCACTCCAAGACCTGATTGTTTCGGCCAACTATATACTATATCGTACCAGTGTAATACTAGTTAACATTATCAACCCCAATGTGCGTGAGTGTATGAAACAATGCTTAATAGTGAAAACCACAATTCAAGTATGTATTGCTTTGGGTGACAATTCAAATCCATACAAATCAATATAGTCAACATAAATCCATATAAACCAATACAATTCCATATGCTTCGTGATTTTAAGTCCACCCAAACTGGATCATTTGGCCTGCTGCAGATAAATCTCCACGTTGGCCACGGAATCGTGCATGATTTCCTGGCAACCACACAATTTCAGGGGGCCAATTATTGGATGGTGATAATATATGTATGTAATATGTATATATATATATACACATTTGTAAATGTTATATATTGGAGGTTTTTTATACAGGATGCATATGAACACACTTTTGGTTAATTTAAAGCAGGTTCGCAACGCTCAATTTTTGTTTAGCCATTCTCTTTCCCGGTGGGTTCGAACCTTAAGACCCAAGATTCTTGAAGGGCCAAAACTTGGTTTGTTTGAAATCCAAGAGAAAACGTATAATATGTATATCAATGTGTATCTAAGGATCACTGATGTCAAACGAATTCCCTATGGAAAAAAAAATCTATGTATGCATACATTAGTATACATTAGTTCTATTAGATTTTGAATGTTTCGGAAAGAAAGGATGGATCTCATGTTTGGTGGGTATGCACTCTGCCCTAATGAATATTATGTGTATATATGTAACCACATTGTGGAATGATTCAAACTATCCACAATTCATCCGATAAATTACAAACTTACATATGAGAAGAATATAAGATAATATAGTTGATATTATTTAGTACATAGTTATATGTATATATATATACACAAACATATGTTTCCATATAAATGGCAAGAATACATAGAACTCGTCGCCCGCAGCAATGGGAAATATACCTGCAGCCTCCCGCCTGCACTGTGTCATTCCCGCCGCAATTACGTAAATACATATACGCATGTTTACATATCTACGATGTTATATGCCAATATTTATTGGGAAGTTTGTTGGACATATCCCAGTATTATCAAGTTCTCAGTCAACCATTCTCATTTCCATATACTTGGGGATTGCCTCCACGGGCTCAAAATAGAAACATTCCGCCCAAAAAAAAGAAATTTCTGGTGGATCTAAAAGGGGAAAATTAAACATCACTTTAAACAAACCCCAAGAGCTGCTTGATGAGGTCCTGGCGCAAATGGTGGAGCTGAAATGTTCCGACTGGTGAATCCACCATTTGGGCAGGGAATCGAAAAATGTATCACATTGCCATTTGAAAGAAATAAGAAAAGGTCGTTTATGGCGTTTATGGCGTTTATGGCGTTTATGGCATTAGGTTTACTACCCTCTGGCAAAACTACATTAGATTTGACAGGTTCACCACGCAATTCCGTCCGCCTTCTTCTCTTCAGTAAGCACTTCTATCGCCTGGCCACAATGTGGACAGTTACCCCTCCAAGACAAAAATCAACGAACCAGCCCAAAAACGACCTAACATACAAAAACACGTGCTCAGACGAAGTACCCAGCCCCACTCTATGTTTCAATTCCTGACTATACCCAATCCGCTGCCTTCTCCAGCCGAAGGTTCTTCAGGATCTGCGGAGCCGGCGATTAGGGATGGATTTACTGGTGGTTGAATGGTGGTATTTAAATGGGTTTTAATAGGTTTTAATAGGTTCAATGGGTTTAATATCTCTATATGTATATCTGTATTATATATATATATATACACACACAGTATTTGGATTCTATGGAAAATGGTAGTTAAATGATTGTTAAATATCAACTAAATGGGGATGGGTCAACAAAACCTTGCACCCCTTCGGACGTTCACATCAAAATAGTTGGTTCTTATGGATGTTCATCCCCCTAACAAAGGATATGTATGGGCATTGATCCATAGCCATCCCTGAAAATGGGTTGTATACCACCATTTTATGTAATGGCGGTGCTTGTATAGCCTCAATGTTCACCATCAAATTCTGGGTTGAATGGGGCATATGGGGAACATTGAGCTTCTCAAATGTTCTAGGCCACCAAACTTTGGGTTACCCCATTTTCAGACAAAGCTGAATCATGGCTCCTAGATGCACTCCCGGCCTTGGTCACTGCGCTGAGGCAAATGCCAAAAAAGAAACTGCAAGTTGCTGACTGTACCCCCATCTGAATTGCAAAAAGATGCCAACGGTTGCCCCAGTAATGGTTGAATATGGCAGAATCGTTCAATGAAAAGATCCCATTCTTCATGACTTTAGCCTGTTGAAAATTGAAAATGCATACCAGAAACAAAGATGTCTAAAAGATGTCTAAGAGCAGGGTCAGCCAACACCGCTTTTCTTATCAATGAAATGACATATCGCCAGAAAAGCATTGCAAGAAATATCGAAGACAGACAAGCAAACACAGATCGCGATGTGAGAAATACATGAACAAATAGCAGGACATGAACCCTTCCGCCTCTTTGCCCAGCGCTTGACATTGGTCATTCTTCAGCTCCTCAAAGGTGCTGAGCTGCAAGGTACACTACTGGGTAACCTACAAACCTAAGAACTGTTTCCAAGTGACAGGGGGGCACCCAAATCAGAACTCAACCCTCCAAAGTTGCAAAACCACCCTTCTTCACATGCAGCAGGCCATATAGACGAAAGCTATCGGGTCCTCCATTTCGCGAGATCGTGTCCTTTGCCTGACAGATCTAAGGTAACCAACCAAACTTCGGGGTGATTGTCGTGGCCCCTCATTTGGTTTGTTGTTTGGATTGAATTTTGCAGATTCAAAGTGATGTGATGTGCAAGGATGTGCAATACTTCAGTGTATGTTGTAAGTATGATGATCTGTCGTGGTCCATTTTGTTCACGAGTTTCAGGTTGAATGTTGCTGAAGTACCAAACTAATGCAGTCGCCGATTTTGTTTGTGCACCCCCAATGGGTTTCAGCATTTGAAAACCTGACAATTTGGCAAACATTCCAAAACCTGGTAGCAGTGTTTCGACCTTGAGCCTTGAGGATTGGGACATGGTCAAGTTTAGGTTTTGCTTTTGATGGTTTTTGCGGACCCAAGCCTCCAGCGAGAGAACCCGGTCCTGGAATGCAAGGTACAGTGAAACCACTGTTGAAGAACCTACTGCAATAAGAACTTCAGGGGCTGAAGTGCTGGATTCAACCCTCCTGTCAGCTAATTGAAATCAGAACTCTAGGGTATCCTGGAATTCTAGCCACTGGTTCTTGTTCCCCTTTAACGGGTATCAATATACCAAACCTTGATTACTGATATACGTATATTCTTGCGGTGCTCCAACCCCTGGCATGGTGGAAATTGTGGCCTTTAGCTCTGTTTGGAATGCCTGCACCTGAAAAAAACTTCTTGAGGCCTAATAGTTTTTCCAACCAAGTCTTTACTGAACTTAATTCCATGTCAAAATAAAATTTCAAGCCCTGGCAGGGTGGAATATCAGGCCCTTAGCTCTGTCGTGGAGAGCCGTCTCTGGAGGCACTGTTGCCGCACAATTGTAAATTTGGAAATTACTTAGAATTTGCAAAACCCTCACCATATGAGCCCCTTAGAACTAACCCGTTCAGAACTTGAGGGTACCTTCGCTCATAATTTGGGGACCCGGGATGATTATTAAATTATATGATAATTCCGCACAGCACAATTCCCAAGTTTTGGACAATCCCTGATGCACCATTTTGGATTTCCATAGGTTCATCGCCGTTGCATAAACACATGGTAATTATACATGATCCCACGTTTATAGATGCATGTGTTTTTCCCACTAAAAAAAAAACAAAAACAAAAACGATCATTTATTATATGGTTTCCAAAGGCCATTTTTGATTGCCAAAGGGTATACTCAATACTTGGTTATATCCAATAGGAATCCACGATGAAACGTGGCGACCTCTTCCATTATTTTTCTGAACTCACCATGTGTTGTTCTTTTCCAGAAGCAATGGTGAGATATGCCCATATTCAAGGTTCTGTTTAAGGCAATTTGCTTTTATTTTCCCAGGAAATCTACCAACCCATGGGGAATCCATCGTTGTTTTTTTCATTTTCTGGGCTCCGGATCCGCAAATCCAAGTACACTGGGGTCCAGTCGTCATGCAGTGAGACCTTGTTGCCAAATTCATTTTTGATGATATGGGGTTTGTCTGAAGATAGGCTGCCCCCCAAAACCTAATGGTTTATTGTCATTTTCTCTATGACATGGGGGTTTCCTATGAAGGTACCCAATAGCTGGATGGTTTGTTTCATGGAAAATCCTATCTAAAAATTGATGATGACTGGGGGTACCCCCATGACTTAGGAAACCTCCAAATAGCATTTTTGACCACCTCCAAGGCGGTTTTTCTGTAAAGAAACAACCATACACACACACAGATATATATATATATATACACACATACGTGTATATATATATATATACTATTATTATTTGTTTAATGCTTATATTATATTTATATGCAAAGCTTTTATAGATCAATCTGAAGCAGCTGGCAAACATCTGCAGAATCATGGATCGGAAGCATGCGGAAATGTCATGCTGTAATCGGTGCAAAAATTCTCACGTCCAAAGTTGGTGGGGTGTTTCCAACAGGAATAGCTGTATATTGAGCAATCTTTGTGTGTGTGTGTCTCAATTTTGCAGCAGCCAAGTTGTCTGGTCGTTCTTTCTCTAACCAAGATGCCAGCTGATCCAAGTCAAACCCAGGAAGGATAGAAAAAGAAATGTTGTCAAAGTTTTCCAACACGCTATTTCAAGACGAAGTTTGTTCATGTTTCTCATGAATTCTTCCGACATGCCAGTGCGCTGGATCTTTTTCTCTCTTCTAAAGCTCCCAGATTCTCAGCCTTCCTGGTGACCAACCGCGGATTCCATCTTCTGGTTTGGTGCCATCATGTGCCATCCTGTGTCTCAAGGAACCGTGCGAATCAGCCATGCTGCACCTAGTCCTTGCCGTTGCTGGTGGTCCTTGGATGGGGGTCTGGACAAGGCAACCCGATGAGACCCAAACAAGACAACAAACGGCACAAGTCCGCAAAGAATCTCAACAAAACCATGAAACCCTACCTTCCCCTTGAACAGGGTGCAAAGAAAACGCCACCAAAAAACATAAGTTCCAGCCAGATCAAGGAACTTCCGTTGGTTTTTCATTGGAGCCGTCCATGCGCCGTCACTGGACGCCCAGCAGCTTCCGCTGCTCCCGGAGGAACTGCTCCTCCTGCGGCTGCAGCGACTCGCCACGCTCCAGGCGCTCCACCAGCCGCGCGGTGCGCAACGCGGAAAAAGCGTCAAGGGAGTGGCACGGCAACGTCACACCCAGGGAGGACAGGAATGAAACCTGGCCACCAAGTGGTGCACCATGTGATCCATGTGGTGGGAGATGGGTAACAAGAGCGCTTGTTAAAGGTTGGTTGTGATGGTCATGAGCTACTTGTGGCATCTTGTGGCCGAGGAGCTTCATCTGGAGACAGCTCAAGGTCCTTGTGCCGAGGCTTGCTGGCCACACACTCAGAAAAGAGACGGTCCAGGTGTTTGATCTCATCATCCAAGGATCCACCGGCACCAAAGATGCGACAAATGCGCGAAAGTTCTCCTCTGTTCGATGGGATATGGATTTGTTGGTATGTCGTTGTGTCTGCGACTGGTTTTTGAGATCTGGTGATAGGATGAGTCCATATGAGTCCTGTAGCATTGCGCCCGACACAAAAATAGAGACAAAACATTAATATATAAACATCGATTGAGCCCCTGCCCTTCATCAGCTGCAGTGTTTACTCATCAACCATCCGAAACCGCCGTATCATCATCGGCTTCGCCAGGTATCCCTTGATGCCTTTCACCTCAAATATGTTACACCCAATTCCAATCAGTTATTATACCATTCCCACTAAGCGGCCTAGCATAATTGGGAGTAAATGATCGTATATATCCTCCGGTAATCAAACATGGCAATGCGAACCCTCTATAAATCGATACAAAATGATATAAATTGGCAATTTGAATTTGGAAAATCATCTATGAAAGAGGGATTATCCGATTATCCCTTGCATTCCCTTGCCATGTTTGATTTCCAGAGGCATTGATCCAAAACAATCCAAAACACCATAATACTCATAACTATCAATATCACTATCATCAACATCAATATCAACCTTATAATCAACAGCAGAATGCTAGAACCTAGAATACATAGATATAGATAGGTGACATAGACAGACAGACAGACAGACAGGTAGATAGATAGATAGATAGACAGACAGTCAGATAGATAGATAGAGACATAGATGACATAGATGACATACATCATTAGAGGCTCTCCTTTCCAAACTTCATCCACCGCCAGGTACTCAGCGGCCCTGTCCAGGATGCCCTGCAACCGCTCCGCCCGGCGCTCACTGCGGTGCTCCGTGCCGGCACGGCTGGCGCCAGCCGCGGCACGGCGCTGCCAGGACCGTTGGGTCCGGACCGCGGAGGCCTTACGAGCTCAGGGGACTTAAAGGGGAAGGGACCTCAGATATGTGTTGATTTACAGATGATGTAACCATATGTAACCCATGTAGGAATGGAATGAATGGAATGCTTAAATTCCAACCCGATTGCGAAATAATCAGTACAGAAGATGTGTATTTTCAAGCACCAGAGATCCCAACATCATTGTCTATGCTTGGGGACGATCCTGGTAAGGCTAGAGCCATTGGATGCAACTGGTGAATTGCTGCTCAAATATCTCAACCATTCATACGAATGCGTTGTCACAGCTGCGGCTGGGAAGGAATCTCGTTTAGTTTAATCCGCCAGTCTGTGAAGCAAACAGCAGCAAACAGCTCTATAAATAGTTGGAATTGGATGACTGGATTTTGAAGCCACACACCAGTTGGCTTGGAGATAGTCAAATAGATACATTACTACGTTAAGTTGTCCCTTCTTCACCTCATACCAAGAATCACGGCGATCACTTGCCTGACCGGTTTTGGACTCCATGGCTGTTAGTCTCACTATATGTCACCGTTGTCACCCACCTTTTTACCTCAAGCAACTTTGCTCCAACATCCAACAGCTCTGGGATCTCTGGGTCCTAGGCGCTGCAGCCCTCAGTTTGCGCCGGATCCGCGCATCCTCCGGCTGGTGCTTCAGCGCCTGACGCCACAGCGCCAGAGCCTCCACGTCCTTCCCGAGAGCCTCAAGGGCTTGGGCCTTGCGATAGTAGGCCTTCGCCTGGGCGCACCACCAAGAGCTCAGCCACAAGTTCCCCCAAATCATGCCTACAGATGTCTACAGTAACTACAATAGAAATATATAGAAATGTATTTCTTGAACCTTGTTGTTTCTTGGGACTTTTCTGGGATTGGATGCTTTCTTTAGGGAAAACATAGAAAATCCCAACCGACACCGCAGGCTCATGCAGGCTCAACAGTTTCCAAGTGGCGCAACTCGTATCCAAACTCAAGGCCTGCTCCGAGTTCTCCAGGGCTGCCTGAAAGTGACGGGCCTTCAAGTTGCACATGGCCAGGTTCAGAAAACCTCAGCTGATGGCTATGGCATGCTATGGCCATCTATGGCCAGATGGAAAACCTACGCAGATCTCTCCACCACCCCAAGAAATGTCTGCAGAGGTGCATGGCACAAATGGCTGGAATTTCAAGTTGAGAAATGCCAAAAGAACTGGTGGACTGCATATGCCATCACCCTGAATCAAGCTAACTTGGCTAAAAACAATTTTTGGGGATGTTGCTGCATGGCAAGCTGGCGCTAGAGGACCTCTGCAGCTCAAAGTTCGATGTTCCGTCTGCAGGTTGCCGCAATCCATGTGACCTCCCAGTTGCGGCAAGTCTTTCAGGGCATGCAACCTGAGGCATCGGCCGGTTGGCTGGTGGAAAGATGAAGGGTTGGAACATGTTAGAACATTAGGATCAGAAAATCACCAAACCAAACCAACAGTTCAGAGTTCAACATCAGCTAAAAGGGCGGGGCCACCGGGGCCCATGAAGCAATTCTCTTTGTGCATTGAGTTCTATATAACTTCATTGTTCCAATGGGGGTGATGGGTGATCCAACATCAGAAAGAAATGCTGGGGGTCACTGCTCCAGGGTGGTTGCGACCAGCGACTTCAGAAAATGCTCATTCGAGGCCCGAAACACAGCATACTGTGACTTACACCATTTCTGTAACCTTTTTTAGAAATTTGTGTGTCTGGGACAATGGCCAGCGGCCAACCCATAGACTGCCATAGACCAAGATGCTTATTCAGCTCGTCGATGGCCAAAGCAAACCACTTCCCAGCGCTTTCAAAGGCTACTTCATCCTGCAGGGACGGTTTCCCGAGCAAACCCATGTGACACAAAGTAAGTCCTTGCCGATCAACAGTTTCACCCGCTCCCAAAGCCTGTTAAAGACCCCGCTCCTCTGCATGCTCCGCGTCATGGTATAAGGTCTTCCCCTTTTCCATGTGCATTTTAGCAGCTTCCAAGTGGTTTTTGCAAGCATCCAGGTAGTCCATCATGGAGACCTGCTCCTCTCGGGTCTCTGCCAGAGCTTTGTTCTTCCCATGCAACCGCGGGGAGCGCAAAAAGCACTGACGGTGGGTTTCGGATAGCAGCCATTGCCGACCTGAAGCACTCTCAAAAACAGCTGCTGCTACAAGTCCTTCCTACTTGTCACTACTGCAGTTGCTAGATGCTGCTAGATTGCTGCTTGGATGCTGCTAGCATGGTTGCGGCACAGCACGCTAAGAGAATAGCGAAAAAGGGTTCCCAGAAACTGTTTGTTCCTTGTGCTTCTTGTTGCTACGGTTGTTGTCGCTGCTGTTGCTGTTGCCATGGCCCGAAGCCTGACCCCCAATCTGTCGCCCAGCCACTCTTCTCTGCCTGGAGAATCTCCACCGGCTGCGGCAGCATCTCCTGCACTCGCTCCAGCGCCTCGTCACCCTCCTCGCTCTCCGTGCCCGAAGCTGGGGGCTCAGCAGCGCAGGCAGCGGCCTCTAAGGGCTTTGGATGCTTTGGGCATCTGATGAACATGACCAAGATGCATTATGTGGTATTTTTATGTATGTTTCAAAACCTCAACCTCTTAGCTTTCTCACCAAGGTGCCTGAACGGAGCTTCGATTTTCATTCGCCGTGGCACATCCGCCCCGCGCCCCCGGCATCGCTGCCCCAGTGGAATCCACTTGACGTAGCTGCATGGAACGGCGTGATGCGAGATTCACCCGCACCTGCGCTGCAAGGACCGGCCCTATGGCTGGTAGGGGGCTCATCGCGAGTGGATTTTGCCTCAATCATGTTCGACTACCAGAGATGCTTGGGTTGATGGTTTCAACCCAACTGAACTAGATTTCTGCAATTAGTCTAGTCATTGGGAATCATATATATATAATCATAATCATCATCTCCAATAAGCGAAATCAGAAACATAGATAATATATTGTCTAAGACCACCCGCCAAGTTCTATGCAGCTGTCATCGCTCACTACTTGGGGGGGTACCTTTTTGTTTGCTTGAAAAAGTTGCTGCATTGACAAATTGTAGGAGCCCATCATCATTGTGGGGAATTCCTTGGCCGACTGGACCATGATAAATATCGTGATCAGCAAACTACCGATATGAATGAATGGATACAGCACATATGATCTCCACATTTGGGGACACAGCCAACAACAAAACAGATGTGTCATCGTTTTTCTGAAACAGTGGGGCTTAAAATCCTTTGAAACCGCTCCTTTTTATCACTGGAATTTGGACATGTGTTTGTTTATGTTTCTTGCCAGATTTTGTCAGTTCTTCTATGTTGAGAAATTAGGAATTAAATAATGGCGTGAAACCCTCAAGCATCCAAGAGGGCTTCTAGAAGGCAGCTGCTGGGAACAAATCTGCCAGACTGGGATGGAAGATTAGTTAGTTGATGAATGGCCCATCCAGAAACAGCGTGTGAGCCCACCATGCCTACATTTTCGACATATCACAATATATATATAATGTATTATATGCTATAGATATAATATTATATATATATATGTGTGTGTGTACATTATATATATATATATTATATATATATACTAATAATAATATTATATCCACAGATCCAACCCATGACCCAGTAAGTAGTGACTTACTAGCCAGACCATCCCCACGGTCCTTGGCTCCAAAATCCACCTGCATCGGCACCCCAGACTGGAGCCGATACTCCACAGATCTCTGGCCGCTGTTCCACGTGGACGTCAGGATGGAGCGTTCCTCATCCGTGACCGTCACCCACTTCTTGCGGATGTGACACAGAAACTGCCACCGCACTTGGTCCGGTTGCAAGTGGGGCACAGCGGGCACAGCCTCACTATCCATTGGTGAAAATGCCCATCCGGCCATGGGGCGGCTTGGGCCAAATCTCATTCGGTGTGGAACAGTCGGAACAGTGTGAGTGGACAAAATGGTCAAAAGTTGGAGTTGCAGTTGCAGCGAACAACTTGCCCAAGAATCCGAAAGATACTGTATGTTGCTACTACATTTACATTGGGGTTTCAAGATGTTTCAATTCACGTGGCAATCACAGCTAGGTTGCAATGCCTTACCATCCCTGGAGCAAACGTTGCAGGTGCGATTGACTAAATTAACGAAGCAGCTAAGCCATGGCCATGACGTCACCTCATTTGAACGGCACCACAAACAAGGTGCACATACAAAATCAACGTATCACGTCATCACATGTCACACATCACATACTATTTCATGTATGATATATGTAACATATATGTACATTGTACATACATATCTATATGATGTCATGGTCGTTAACATCGTTAACCAGCTCACCATCCCCCAGACGCCCAGAAACATCCAGAAACTCTTTGTCGCTGCAGTCCTCTTCCAAGTCTTCCTCGTCCTGGTGGGGAGGGTAACCATGGGTAACCCCATCTCCTGTGAAATTCCCTCCGGATTTCAGGCCGAAAAATGTCCATTGGACTGAATTTCATGCCAGGGGTAATTAGGAGGAACTAGACGATTAGTTATGATGGAAGGGCAAACCTTCCTTTGACCTGCCCTGTTGACATCCCCAAGAGGCCTATCCATCATCCATCCATTCCATGTTGGTCCAAGAATTGCCGGCCTCCATCTGGAGCTCCTCGGAAGTGGAGCTGCTGGATGCCACATCGCCGTCGGAGGTGCTGAGGTGACCTGGCGGATGATACGGGCTTGACATGGTTTGAGATTTTAGAATGATATTGATGTGGAATGATATGCAGTAGATATACAGATATGGATGAAACATATATATATATATAACTATATACATATATATATATATTTGTATACTATATAGTGTTGATTGCTATATATGGGAGAAAGGAGAGAATATGCACCTGCAAAATTCTACATACACGACCTTTCCAGGCACACAGTTCGCTATGAAGTACATGCGAACCTGCGTCCAACACTCATTTTCGCTGGACTCAACAGGCCAACGATATCGATGGGGTCCATGCCGAAGCTACGGCAGCATTGTGAAACAGCTTCAGATCGCTTCAAAATTCACATCCCTTCGCTCAAGCAGCCACTGCTTAAGGTCTGGCCCACTCTTCCACTTCAAGCTGCCTGAACAGTGGGACTGCTCAGAGACTGGTCGACTGGTCAAGATGCAATAGGTGTTGGGGTGCTCACTCCAAGCTTTAAACTGTTTGCAACGAGGAAACACAAAACTTAGGTTTGATCTGTCCGCAACGAAGGTCCGAGAAAACTTCCAATCTGGCATGATCTCACTCACCTACAACTCATTGGGTACAATGGTTGATTTGCATGTGTACACCATATTATATACATATATGCACATTTGTATGTATGTATGTATGTATGTATGTATGTATGTATGTATGTATGTATGTATGTATGTATGTATGTATGTATGTATGTATGTATGTATGTATGTTATGTATGTTATGTATGTTATGTATGTATGTATGTATGTATGTATGTATGTATGTATGTATGTATGTGTATGTATGTATGTATGTATGTATGTATGTATGTATGTATGTATGTATGTATGTATGTATGTATGTGTGTGTATGTATGCATGCATGCATGCATGCATGCATGCATGCATGCATGTATATCAATGTATATCAATGTACATCAATTTATATCATTGTATATCATTGTATATCATTGTATATCATTGTATATCATTGTATATCATTGTATATCCTTATTGTACGGGTGCGTTCATGTATCTGCCTTTCTTCATATCCATTCATATCTGATTCACATGACGGTCCGGCCAGTCCTGTTCCCCTCTCAGCACTGGACCTCATCGTTGACCATGGCCACACGGACGCTGCGATCCAATCTCTTTGCCTGGATCACAACCTGGGACGGAAACATAGTAAACCATAGTGATCCCTGGAAAAAAGTTGTTTGAAAAATGGAGGAACCATAGTAAAACATAGAAAAACCTCAGTAAACCATAGTAAACCAGAGTAAACCATAGTTGACTACAGTAGACTATAGTAAACTGTAGTGAACTATAGTTGGAAAAGTTGATCCTGATGTTGAAAAAACATTACTGGACATGTGGTAATTATAGGAAATAAGTTGCAGTGTGCACTGTATCACCAACGCCGTAGTTGATGTAATCCGACCAGCCCACAAATTAAGGGCATATTGGCTCCTGCTTCAAGGTTTTACATCTTCGAACTAATGGAGAACCATGTCAGAATCAAGCACTCCATACATGTGCAGTTTCTGACTTTGTTACAAGTTGAACTCCCAAGAAGTTCCCAATCATCCGCCCAGTGACTTGGATTTTCTGGTTCCTCTTCAAATGCTCCGTGATGGGGTCGAACTTCCCAATGCGGCTGCCATCTTGGGTCAACACATAGGCTGTGGGCAGGTTCCCCATGACTTCAGCACCGAAGTCCACGAAGGCCCCGCTGTGATACACACGGTGGACCTGAGAACATGGAACACCTGGCAGGTGGGGCCCATCGTTTTATGGCGGTTGCCCCATGGCCCTGCCAGTTGCAAAATCATAGGTTATAAAAGATCGTTATGATACCCCAACCCGGAGTCGTCTACCACTTAAAGCTGGCTCTAAAATCCAATTGCAAGGATATCACTGGCATGCGTCCAGCATTCTTAACGTGTCTCTGCTGCAAACCATGACTTGCTGCACTTGAAAACATAGGATATGATGCAAAGGAAACGGACCCATTTTCAATGATTAGATGTCAGAATATGGCTAGATAAAATGTGCAAAGGAAACCTTTTGGATTTCTGTGTTCCAATATATTCCAACGTTCCATCCAAACAGGTCCAATTTAATTAGGGGATTACATGTTCCTCCATATATATAATACATATACAACAGATATATCCATATATTATTCTCATATATATATATGTAGAAATATCCTTGCCACAATGTCACACACACACACACATACGCAGATGTGTATATATAGTACGTATATTATATATGATTATATATATATATATTTATATATATGTATTTAGATCAATCATATGTATGTGTATGTGTTCGTATTATGTACATGTCATGTCGAAAACATACGAGAAACAGCAAACCCCTCAGCAGGATGCAATCAAGGATCTGTTGCCTCGTAGCGCTGGCCAACCTCCAGTTGCTCGAAGGGGATCAAGACTGGTTTTGCCTCAACTGGGATGAATGGGATGTTCGTAAATCTATGAGGGATTGCCGATGGCTGGTTTGATGGGTAATCATCACTATTCTCTTTTACAAATTCAGAGAATGTCCCAAGTGCTTGTCAATCTTGTCATGCTTATAGTTATTAAGGTTATTTATGTAATATCATTGGATGTTACATGGTTACATGATGCACTTGACCTTTTTGGCCAGGCCTCAAAGGCGGAGATGTCAGATTCAGATCCATCCTCCCAGCAGATGGTGAAGGTGTCCGCTTCTTTCGCCACCAGCTTGCCGCGTTGGTCATCCACCTGTCCGGAGCAACCCAGATCGGCGGCTGCCATATGGAAATGTCGTGTGGCAAGAATTTGATGTCATTTATCTGCAACAGCTTCTATGATGTTCTATGATGTTCTATGATGTTCTATGATGTTCTATGATGTTCTATGATGTTCTATGATGTTCTATGGAGCTATTCTGACATTTCCAAAAACATGTCAGACCACATTTCTGCGAATTATGATGGTCACTGGTCCTCACTGGTCCTCACAAATTTAAAAAACCGCCGCAACAACCTCAAAACCATGATTCACTAGCCAGTCCCGACCATGAAATTGGAACGAAAATCATACATCTTTGATCCTAAAAATCCTCGTTCTTGGACCTCATTTGGACCTGCATCCATCCTTGGTTTCCAGGCCTGCACCGCATCTCCCACCGTGAATTTGCCGGAGACCTGTTCGATCTCGTGTGGCTCCACATCGCTGGTCGAGCCAGAGAGCCAGCGCACGGCGTAGCTGCCGTCCGCGTTGGCCGCCTGGATGATGCCGGGGCGACTGGCGCCGTCCGGGCACACGGCCTGGACGATCATCGATCAATCATGGTGATACTGTACAGTAGATGGTGGGACTGATCAATGATGATCAATGATGATCAATGGTTATCGAGCTATCATAGATGATGGATGGTACAGGATGATGAGGGATCATGGGTGATAAATCACGATGGTACATCATAAATTAATGAGCAAAAGGAGTATAAAACATCTGGGATGAGATGCGAAGCTTGGACGATCCAGCCTGGACTGCATCTCCGACCTCATGGCTCTCGGGTAGAGATTCCTGAAGAGATGAGACCTCGCTGTTGCTCAAAAGAAAGCTTTGCTTTGATCTAAGATGATGATCAAAGATCTTCAATGACAAACCACCCATGTCTTCATATATCACTTCCACGAGCTAAGTTTCGGCCCGGAGCCTTCCAGGGGTGAACTTGTTTTCCACTGACGTTCGGGACCTCGTACTGTTTTGCCATGGATACTGGTATGTTTGGTTCTACTGATCATGACCATGTCTTCACGGGGGTGATCAGGGTTACTACTTGGTGTGATGGGTCATCCATTGGCCAGCGTGTTCCATCCAATGAGCCCTACATGGTGATCGGGCTCGTCCTCCCGGAGGGCAACGTGAGCCTCTATGGCTTTCAGAAAGGTGACGTGGATGATTTTGTTTATCTTCACCCAGCTGAAGATTCTTGGTGGTTTTGTCATGTTCCCCAACTTGATCTCTCTCCACGGCTCCTTGAGTTGTGCGCTGGAGTGGGTGGTATGGGAGTAGGAGCTTCGTTTGCTGGTGGTATTCCATTTGTTTCAGTTGATCACAATGGACTTTCTTGCTCTCATTTGAATGCCAATCACCATGGTGAGATCCTTCAATTGGATTTGACTCTTCCGGAAAGTGCCAGGATTATCCATATGAAATTTGGCGCCTCTCCCGGTACGGTTTCTTTTGGGTTCCCATGTCAACCTCATTCCACACAAGGCTGCCAGTTAGGTAGCTTGGATGATAGGTTTAAGGTTTTTTGGCATGGGTTGAAGATCATGTTTCTCACCAACGCTCAAACGGCTATCTTGGAGTGTGTGCCGGCAGCGGGTGAGCACCCAGAGATTGTCCAGGGCATCAGAACTTTGGCAGCGGTGATGTCTTGGGATGTGCTCACGGTCAACCTTGACTTGCAGGCACAATGGCCTTGTCGTCGAGCACGGTGGTGGGCTTTGTTGCTTCCTAAATCCTGGAACACCTATGGGTTGCATCCATGGCCACGTTCAAGTCCATTTCAATGCGTGGGTGATCTTTTTCAGTGTTGGGGTACATGGACGGAAGCCGAAGAGGATGATCTTCAGCTTTTTGAGGTTGAGATGCAAACCTACATGAATAAGGAGTTTGGGTCTGACAAACGTATCCTTGAGTTCGGTGACAAAGCCAACACTTTTTTGCATTCTTACGGGAACGCTCTTCTGAGCTGTCCTTGTGGCTGTCGTGCTGCACCATTGAGTTTCAGGAATCTTCGGCTTCGAGGCCTTAGAGGATGCTTTGTGCAGTCCCTTGTGCACCACAATCCTCGCTATCTCCATCCCAGAGAGCTTGGACTTTTGCTGGGGATGCCAGACCGGGTTTCGTACCCTCATGCCCCTCGTGCCAGTTTGGCACTTTTGGGACTGGTGGCTTCGCCACTACAAATGGTCTGGATTTATGCCCATCTTCGCAACAATGTGGCGCAGGCCTTGGACTTGGCTGTGTTACCTTCTCCATTGGAATGGCTTCGAGCCTATCAACATGAACTCCTACGTCAGACTCAGCATCTCTTCAAGCGGCATTCCATGATCCCACAGATGATTCACCTGAAGGACCATGATGGCCACGAGTTGGTCATTGCAAGCCCTACGGCATGTTCAGTTGCCCAGCTTCTTCAAGCTCAGCGCATTTGCCTAGATTGGAATCACAGTGGTGGAATTTCTCAGGATGGTCATCCGCTTTCCTTGAACACTCTGCTGGACTCCATGAGTGGACCATACCAGCTGTCACATCAAATGGGACAGGTGAGCAGACCCCAACCACCTGATACCATAGCTGTTGGTATCCGGCATGAACAAACCTTCCACTTGATCTTCCTGAACTCTGGCCAGTTTCTCTTTGAAGGCTTGCGACAACTCGACATCTTGCATGTCAACTTCTTGGTGGACAACCACGGCAAGATCTACGGTGCTGACTTTCGAGTTTGGAAGCCCTTGAACCTTTGCACATTGGATCCTGCTGCATGGCCTCCTTCTTTCTCTGTGCGTGCTGCTGGTCCTTGGACTTCTCCAGCAGGACTGCATGATGGTCAAGTGGCGTGGACTTTGGCTTCTTTCATGCAGTTGACTTCCAACCTTCTGAAACCTATGGTCATTTATCCACTGACGGCCATGCAGCTCCTCGAACAGACTGGAGACACACAATGGATTGGTAGTGCCTTCTCCAAATCCGATGATCGGATTATCTGCATCTATCCCAGTGCTTCTCATTGGGCGCTTCTTTGGGGACAGCTCCGTGTGGACCATCTTCAGTGGCTTTATTGTGATGGACTTCCCGGACAAGCCACTTTCACTGCCACACGTCTGGCTGCCATCATCTCGACTGAGCTCTCCTTGGATTGGACGATCCAACCTGGTCACCTATTTGCACAGCATGACCAACACACCTGTGGGACCGTGGCTTTGCTCCATGTCGGTGTTCGTCTTGGACTTTTTGGACTTCCCTCACGTCAGGCCGTCTTGGACTTTCATGCCTGGCTACAGCACCGACAGGCCCTTGGACTTTTCACTGACCCTTGGATTTTCGGGTCTGGGCCCAATCCATCTGAGCCTCAAGCTGCTTTGGCTGCTCTTTTGGCCACGAAGGGGGTTCCGTCACAATTGGCTGCTGATCGTGCGGCTGCTGCCCTCAAGAAGCTTGGACATGCTGCAGTCCAGACTGCCTTGGGACAAACCAACCCCTGGGCAGCCCTCAAGGCACTTACCACTCGACCTGGCAGCACTTTCCAGTTTGTTCTGAAGTCGGAGTTGCGGGACTACATCACCTCCAAAGCCACCTCCAAGCATGGCACTCTCCTCTCCAGTCAGAAGAAAAAAGACAAGAAGAACACTCGGTCTTCTGCTTCTCCTACTCCCGCTCTTGACCCAACCACATTGCAGTTGGATCCAGCTCACTTTGTTGATGATGAGGGCGACCAAGTGAGCCAAATCCAGCTGTCACAGGTTGTGGCCGATGCGAGAGGTGTGGCACTTGCAACCTTGACTGAAGCACTTCCTTATCTCAAAGAGGAACGATATATCAGCACTGATGCCCTGGGGCTGTTGATTTTGGAAGAGGTTCCTGCCCATCTCAAGGGCGTTGCCAGCATTTCCTCCATCCGCTTTCCTGTCACCTACCTTCCCACTCAGGATCCACTGTTGATTCAAGGTAGTCTTCTTCAGCTTGGGGACCATCCGGTGGCACGAAAGACCATCCAGGACCCTGTGAATATGATGGATCTCACTGACACCAAGGTGCTCAAGATTCAGATCTTCCGTGATGAGCTGACTACTATGTGGGATCAAATTGCGGCAGCGCCCATTCGACATCTTTTTCAGTTGGTGCCTTTGTTCAGACTCTGCACTCAAGTCTCTTGCGATCATCGTTGCGGCCTTTTCCATGCGGCTGTGGAAGACAACATTGACCAAGTAGTGCACGAGATCTGGGGACGCAGGTTCCAAACCATTGAAGGACGTGCTCAACCTGCCCAACAGGCTGAACTCTTTTTGGCCTTTTTGAGGATTGCATCTTCTGCTTTGGCTGACCTCTTGCGGGTTCTTGTCGATGGAGTTTACCTGGAGCCCCGTGCTGATAGCACCAAATCTACTGACACTGACTATTCAGTCATTTGGGTTCCAGGTGCCAACCGTGAACTTGCGGTCCATCGGATGAAACTCACCACGCATGGACTTTCACTGGTGAGAATGAAAAATCGGTTTGGCATTCGGGTCTGTGCTGTCCATGAGGAGGTTACTCACAAAGAATTACGACCCGGCGATGTCTATGTCAAGGTGGATGTCAACAAGATCTACCGTTTGCACCCGTTACCTCATGGACTTCAGCGTCAGCAGGTGGTGCAACTCTTGAGAGAATGGAAGTGGCAGGCCAAACCATTGCAGCCTGCCAGAGGTTCCTCTGAAGGTGGATCATGGGAAGTGGGAGCCGCATGTGAGCCACCCAACAATGTCTTGACCGTCTTCAGTCGAGATGTCCTCATCTCTTTGGTCAAGGACAAGAAGGAAGCTGATCGAGCTCCACTGGTGGTGGGCCCTTCTCGGGCACAGAAGCATTTGCGTTCTTCCACTTCAGCTGCTGCCTCCTCTTTTGTTCCTTTGACTGGCGATCCATGGATGGCACCTGGCCATGATCCTTGGCAAAGTTGGCATGGCACATCTCAGACTGCACCGGACAAAGCAGCCAAACGCTATGAGGTTCTGGCCGATCAACTAAAGTCAGAACTGAACACCTCTTTGAAGGAGTCGCTGGATGCCAGACTTCAAGATGGGCAACATGGCGCTTCTATGGATTCCAAGCGCATTCACAAATTGGAGACTGACATGGAAGAGCTCAAGTCCCATCAGGCATCATATCATGCGTGGTTCCAAGAGACTGGCACACGTCTTGCCCGACAGGATGAACAACTTTCCAGTCTGCGGGGCTCGGTGCAGCAGAATCACCAAGATTTACAGGCAGTCCGTGCTGAAGTTCATACATCGGCGGACACACTTCATCAAGCTATGCAGGCCTCCTTCGGCAACATGAAGGGTGATCTGACAGCTGAGATTTCCAATGCGGTGTCAACACAAATGGATCGCCTGGAAGCTTTACTTTCCAAGCGACAGAGAAGTGACAGTTGACTAGGTCACCCTGGGCCCTTTGGATTTAGGGCGCCAGGCAAATTTGGACTTTCCATGTCGTTTCTTCGACAGCTTCTTTGGACTTTCCTTTTCGTTCTTCAACTTTGTCCTTCTTGGGCTTTCGTTTCCATGGACAATCCCATCATTGACCTCTCAGCTGGGGCTACCTTCTTGGATCTTGGCTCCACACATTCTCTGCCTACCTTGCGGTGGGGTGAAGCGCTACATCCTGGACCGGAGGGAGACTGCCATCTTTTTGGATTTTCTAATCCGTCTGGACTTCGCCAGAAAGAACATGCTGCGGTGGATTTGGGACCAGGTGTGTGGTCATTTTCGGAGACACAGCTCTCATGGGT